CACAAGTATTATCGGCTCGTTATAATCAAGATCGAATGCTTATCAAGCATCGATCAAATGTGTCCAGATGCATCACTTTCAGTTGTTCTGCTCAAGACGATCAAAGACTTCTTCAAATGAATTTTGAATGTCAATTGTGCTGTAGAACAGAGACCAGTTCTCTAATAACCTTCTGAACGCGAGTCTGACTCCTCGGCTTCAATTGATGAAGACAGATGTGAATTGACATTTAATTGCCGATCCAAGTTGACATATTTTTACAAACGCTCCACTCACCACTACTCACTGATGCTCATGATCGAGGTGATCAACTCACAATCATCAATTGCTCAATTGAACCAAGAATGAATGAGATTTGACTGTAGGATAGAAACCAGTTCTCTCTCAGCAAACACAAACTTATCATTTCCCCATACATTCCATTTCAAACACATAAACAAATAAACTCTATCATTATAACGATGTGAAATGTGATGTTGATCTATGTCGATAAGCTAAATTTTTGAGAGTTTGATCCGCTTAATATTACAAATTGATCAAGAATGATTCTTATTGAGAAGACCAGAGAAAATGTTGATTGATGTCATCGAACTTTGATTGATTTTGAACTCCATTGAAAGGTTTGATTGGTTATAATTTCAGCAAGACTGACTCAGATCGAGGAGATTGGATGAAATGGAGATCAATGTCATCAAGCAAACATATACATTTATCTTAACCCCGCTGAGAACGATTGATTTCAAGTGGATTGGATGGTTAAGGGGTATAGCTAAGCTCGAGGTTGACGAGACTTGAGGTCCTGGCGATACTCTGAAGCCTTTGTTGACAAACGGACCGCTGTAGGAACCCTTGCTGAAAAGATGAGTTTTAGCAAGCTGTAACTGAGTAGGGAGCCAAAGAAATAAAGACAACCACCACACACACACAAAAGAAGTATATGAGGTGTGCAAATAAACTTTGGATAGAGTTAACTAGCCTACTCTAAATATTACTGAGCCTTTAAAAGAGCCAAAAGACCAGAAGAAAGAGAGGAATATAATACTTTGAGGAGTACTACAGAAATGAGAAAAAGGGTAAAAGATGAGTATAGAGTTTATTGAGATTTAAATAAGGGATAAAGGGATGGTAAGGTGCTTAAATGAATAAGACTTGTAAATAAAATAGTGTGTACTGAACACAGATGAAAAAAAGGCTACACTACAATTACTACTTCAGACTATAATTCCCCAAAGCAAAGTAAAGTTTAAATATAACTCAGTGAAAAGACTAATCCTAAAGGAACTAACACAGACTACCCCCTTGAATACAACTTGCAACCAAATCAACAGACAGACTACCCTCTACTAAGAACTAGACTAATGAAAGATAAAACCTGACAAAGCTATAAGCTAACTACCATCCACAAAGTAAACGTCCAACAACTTATTGGCCAATGTGCTGTAGCCTTATACTTTTCTAAGCCTTTCAAAACCTAGGTTAATATGTTAGAATTCTAGATGAAGTGTCCAATGAAGCAAACTAAGCATATGATAGAATAATAGAACTCAATGAATTATCTAGACCAAAGGATATACCACACACTTTCAATCAGAGGGTGAAAATATAGAATATTAGACTCATGTAGAGAGCAAAGAAAAAGTCTCCTTATATCAACTTAATATAAGGGGCAAAAAGTGATCACAGAAATAAAAAGAGAGTATAGGCCAGTTGGTACTGCCAATGAGCTATAAACTAATAGGAACTTTCCTGGATAAATTTCTGGATAACTTTCAAATCCTCCCTGTCAACCCCCTGCCTTATATACACACAGCCAGACACAATTGAATAAAGAGAAATTGAGATAATAAAAAAAAGATATGAGAGAACAAACACAGGCCACAGATATGTACACACACAACTTCCAAACTCTGCCAAGACCATTTCTTGCCAACATAGATAAACTTTGTACATTTGAAATATGTAATCCTCCTTGCTGCACCAAATAAATAATTGAATTGAGAGAGATTGAGTGAAAGAGAAAAAAAGAAACTAAGCCTCCAACCCTGATTGTACCAATTACATAACTGAATTGAAACTGAGATTGAGTAAAAAAAAGAAAATAGAAAAAAAGAAA